TGGGGCTCCTCCTTCATTAGAATCAAATGAAGGTGGGTTGCTGCTTCATTTCTCATTGAATGATTCCTAAAGGTGTTTATTACATTTAGCTTATAGCCGTTACCATTGTAGATCTGCCCTCCAGATGACAGCATCATCAGTGACTTGTGGTGTGTGTGTGTGTAAGTGTATGTACATCCAATCTCTCCTCTGCTTGTTGTGCTAAATGCGTCACCAACTCTTGCACAAGCAACGATAAATGCAGGTCTTGGCAGAGAAACAGGTGGGGAGCCAATTATTCATTTTTCTGCTCACATGAGCTGCCCATTCTTTGGCATCTGAAATGGTCGTGGCTCAGGATAGGGAGAGATTCATGCCTTGTGTCAAGCTCTACTGACCTAGGAACATACCACAGAAGGAACAAAACAACTTCCCTGTATGGCTTGTTTTATTTCTGGCCAAGAGAAGCAGAAAACGATCACCTCAGCCCTGCCCATTCCTCCGGCATCGTGCCTCGGGATATAAAGTTAAAATGACACTCAATTCACACCTGCCCTGGAAGGGTATACATGAGAGCACAGCATCCCTCTATGCCCAGACCCCATGTCAGAAGAGCTTGTGCAGAGGTATAAGGGGCTTTCTTATTTCCTTGCTTGGGTCTACACGCTGAACCACAGGGGAGCCCTTGGAACATTTTACTTGCCCTTTAAGATGAACCCATGGCATAGCAGTGTGGTTGCCGCAGCCCTAAGCCAGGCCTGGAGAGAGGCTCCTATCCATCCTTAGCCTCTGGGGCAGATGCAAGGGAAGGTGCCTGTGCAGTTGGGTTACCCTGCACCACTGAGCACCAACTCACATGTTTTCAGAGCTTGGGCTGCTCACAGCCCGTACCATCCCAGCTGGGCTTTGCTGGGAGCAGAGGAGACAAGGCAGGGGGGAAAAGGTTCAGCTTCAAGATGGGAGGTGGATAGGGAACACAGCTTCATCCGCTGCTCCCCCCACATTCTGCAGGTCACAAGTACTGCAAGCCCACCCCGAAAGAGCACCAAGGTGGCTACTCTTCTCTCCGAAAAGGGCTTTGAAGGGTGGATGCGCTGTGACCATACATTCCAAACCTCAGAGTTACGAACATGATGGGAACAGAGGTGGTTTGTAACTCTGAAACGTTCATAACTCTGAACAAAACAGTATGGGTCTTTCCAACGTTTACAAGTGAGCATTGACTTAATACAGGTTAGACCTCCCTTGTCCAGCACCCTTGGGATCTGACCAGTCCTGAATGAGGGATTTTGCTGGACCAGGGGAGGTAATTTCTTACCTCCCCTGCAACTTCCCTCCCACACCCGCACCCCTGGCCTGATTGCTGGCCTCCCACCTTGCTCCCCTCACCAGCAAGCCAGGCTACCTGCTGCCCTGCCAGCCCACAGCACGCCCAGCTGCTAGCCCTCCACCAGGACTCTTTGGTCCTGGAACATTGGTAGCCCTGCTGGACCAGTTTAGAGAGGTCCTGGTTTAGAGAGTTAGGGTGTGTCTACACAGGACCCTATGCTCGAAATAAAATACGCAATTTGTACTACGCAAATTGTGTATCTTATTTTGATTCTATTTGAGCTTATTTTGAAATTTGGCACATCTACACAGCACCAAATTTCAAAACAGCACACTATTTTGAGACAGCCCTTAACCTTTGTGGAATGAGGGTTACAGGGATGTCGAAACAGTGTGCCCATTATTTCAAAAGATTGGGCAGCTTGTTAAGCTGCGGGTAGCTCTGGTATCCTGAAATAGCTATGCAGTGGAGACGTACCCTTAGAGAGGTTCAACCTGTACAGCTTTGAAACTTTACTCTGCAAAAGAAAAATGCTTCTTTTTTGGGGGTGGGGGAATAGTTGAACAGTGTTGTATTTTCTCTGCCACTGCCTGGTTGTGTACTTACAATCCCAAATGAGGTGTGGAATTGATCGATCGATCAGTAACTGAGATTTGATTGCAAAATATTCCTTTCCATCTGATTTTGCTGCTGAGAAACTGCCTCTCTCCCCTCTCCTCCCCTCATGGTCCAGTGCTGTCAAGACTTTGGGGGGTACTTTCTAAGCAAAGAATTTTGGCTCAAGTCTCCCTCCTCCCCATCCAGGTTGTGAACTAACAGGGGAAAAGGGGGCAGGGAGTACCATATATGTAAACAGAAATAGGACCGGCTTAGTGCTCTCCTGTGATGCCAAAAACCTGCAATGCTCCCCTATGAAGGGAATTACATTCAGACATACTACAGACTGCTTTGGGACTCTAGTTATCATTGTAGGAAGGCAGAGAGGTGGAAGGTGAAATAGTGGCACCTGGTGGTTAATTCACAGCCATTATGAAGAAAGGATTTAGCAAGCTCAGGATGTGTGTATTTGCTTAGGGTTAAAAAATCTCAGATCTAATATGCCAACAAATCCAGTCACTTTGACTATAGAGCAGGAAGTCCTAATATGAGTTTGGTGGATTAGCGATGTGCATCGGCAGATAAGTCAGATAGAATGTGGATGACTATTTGCATCCACAGGTTGACTGCAGCACAATTACAGGAAGCTCTAGAGATCACGCTGAGGTCTACTTTCAATTCACCCAAGCACAACCTGCACCCTTAAAAAACCCAGTTAGTCAGACACCACCCCGACTGTGCTCCATAGACTATCTCTTCCCACTATCCAAATTGAGTCTGGTCCCTTTCCCCATTCCAAACCAGCCAGCCATCTCATGCCCACTTTGCCCCTCTGAAATCAGACCATGCATATGTAACCCACACACCTGTTGGGTGGGGTTCACTGTCCTATGAAAATGGTCTAAGTGCCACTATAGCTGTAGAGGCTCATACCCTAAGCTCCAGAGGGCCCAGGTTCAGTTCCACCAATCAGGATTACACACACAGGGGTTAGGTCTACACTAGCGGATTCCTGCGCAAGAACTCTGGCACAAGAACATGTCCACACGGTCACGTGCTTTTGTGCAAGAGCATCCACGGCAGTGTGGACACACTTGTACAAGAAAGCACTGATGGCCATTTTAGCCATAGGGCTTTCTTGCACAAGAAACCCCTGCTGCATTGCCACACTGCCCTTTTGCGCAAGAGCACTTACACTTGTTAGAAAAGTGCATAGCTCTTGCCCAAGAAGCCCTCTTCCCACACTTTACTGTAAATGTTCTTGCACAAGAGCAGGCAGGCCGGGTGGACGCTCTGCAGGTTCTTGCACAAGAACAGCCATTCTTGTGCAAGAACCCACCAGCGTAGACATAGCCAAAGGGTTGGGATGTCACAGTATGAGCATGAGGGTTGCTTCCTTTTTAGAGTGTGTGGCATCTCTTAAAACCAAGAAGTGTCTTAAGGAAGTGTCCAGTAGGCTTACCCCTGTCAGACATCTGGTTTCAGACCAGAATGCCCAGGCTGTTAGAAGTCCAGCTGGCAGTCAACAAGGGCCCAGGGCTAAGGCAGGCTCCCCTGTCTGTCCTGGCTCCACACACGCTCCTGGAAGTGTTCACCAGGTCCCTGCGGCCTCAGATTCATGGAGGCTCCATGCACTGCCCCCACCCTGAATGCCTTCTCCGCCTCTACCCTGGGCCAGGAACTGTGACCAACGGGAGCTGTGGGGGGTGGCATTTGCAAATACAAGAGTAGCGCACCAAGCCTGCCTCACCACTCATGAACTAATGGCTGCAGCAGCCTGGCAGCCATTTCCTGGGAGCTGTGATAAGCGTCGCTGGGATCTCATTCCTTGAACACTCTTCCGCATCCCTGTCCTAGCCCAGAATCTCCTGCCACAGCCAAACTCCCTTCTAGAGCCCACACCCTTCACAAACCCAAACTTCTGCCCCTGCCTGCACCCCAAACGCCTCATCCCTGGCCCCACCCCAGAGCCCTCACACACAACCTCCTATGCCAACCCCCCTAGCCCAGCCCTGAGTCCCCCCTCTCACTTTGGACCCCACATTTTTGGCCCTACCCTACAATCTACATCCCCAAATGGAGTCCTCACCCCCCCCCCTCCCATTCCCCACCTCCTTGCCCAGCGAAAGGAGATGGAGTGAGTGGAGAGGCTGGGCCTCTGACAAGGAGCAGGGCCATCCTGTTCCATTTTGTGCAATTAGAAAGTTGGCAACCCTAGTCACCCCACACAGCACTTGTCCTGTAACAGCCTTGACATTGTAGGCCCGATTCAGAACCTTGCTCGAGCAGGCTAATGCTTCCACTGATGTCGAGAAGGGGCATTTGATTCCTGCTCTGCTACTGGGGGATGGGGCAATTCGCATCATTGGGTGAGGTCACTCCCCTCCCCCTTCCTCCCACCCCACTCCCTGGCATACGGGGCTGTTGGAAAGGGTGTTAGGTTGCAAAATTACAGACAGGGTGTTGTAGCTAGTCTTCATGACACTGAGCTTAGTTAGCCCATTCTCTGACCAGTTGTGGCTTCTCCTTGGGAAGGGAGATTGTGGCTTATGGTGCTTACAATCTCTGGCAGCCGTTACTGAAGTGGCCTTCATGAGCGCTAGCATGGAGTCAGGCTGTTTCTTCAGGCAAACGAAGAGACTGATCTAGGTCTCCCTCTCTGTATAAGGCCACTCTGGATTTGGGTGGCATGGCCTGAAGCATCTTTAGTTATCTCTTGTGTTGAGGGTGTGCAGTGCACTCATTTGAGTGGGGTTCAACAGGACAGGAAGTTGCAGACTTTTGGATTAAATATATACCTCGAAATTGAGACTCTCAAATAGGTACTAAAATTATTTTCTACTCAGTCTTCCACAGAGCTTATTAGAAGCTTAAATCTTGGCTTCATACAGGTTTCCTGCTGCCACTTGTTTGGGTGCCTCCCTGATTCCTTGATTTCAATAGAAATGTAAGCCAATAGAAACATACAGGTTCTGAAGGCAGACTGGCCTTAAAGCAGCGAAAGGTAGGTTGAAGTTGTAGATCCAACAACCTTTAGTGTCCCTTCATCACTTCAAAACATTTTCTGAACAAGAGGAGAATAAGACTCATATACCTCTTTGCAGTGAAACGTTTATTAGAATGACATTTCTAGAGAGCTACCCTTGTCAGAACAGGTCATGGAATTTACCCACTTTCAGTTTAGCAGATGTAGACAGTATTGTTACTAGTAGTGGAAAAAAAATTCTATAAAGCTTCTTAAAGAGAAAGTTTTGGTATTAAGTGAGCACCTACCCTTATCGGCCTTTTCTAGGGGTTCCTGCCAAGGTTTCTTTCCCAGGTGGAGACTGACCTCTTACACAAAGAATGCATGAGTTACTTTAGTGTCAATTTTTGCTTTGTTCCCTGATAGTTTTCCCCAGAAACTCAGCAAAAGCAGTATCTATTGAACCCTAAACATTCACCAAGTGGTTCTATTTTTGCCAACCCTTTAGTAGACGGGAATCTTCTAGAAATTTTGACTGACCCATTAAATAGGCATTTTAGAGCTGCCTCTATAGGCTAACAGCCCAGTTCTTGAAGATGCCTACTATTCTTCACCTCTGGGATAGAGATGCTCTAATGAAACTTTGAAGCTCAGGTGAGCCTCAGAGTTGGTATATTCAAGAATACACAGCAGGATGCCAATTCCCTTGAAGGACATTTGTGTTGTAGAGATTCCATGATTTTTTTTCTTTTGTAAAAACAAACATTCTCTATTAAACTCATTGGTTAACTGCATCTATGAAGAGTTCAGATAAAGAGCCAGAAAGAGGGCAAGGACAGTGCTCAGCACATGGTCACATCTTGAACTGCACCACTCAGGAAACAATCTTGAGTCCAGGTATGGACTCTTCCAGGACCTTCAGTTCATCATCTGTTTCAGAACTCCAGTAGATGTCGTACAGACTGGAAAGGAAAAAAAAAGTAACCATCTCAGCAAGAACACTATCAAATTAAGAAGTGCTGGGGAGCAAAGATACAGTGACCTCTGGGAAAACATGGAAAAAAGGGAGCCAATACTTTACTGTCCTGTCAGTCCTGGTTCAAGACTGAACTTAAGGCCATGTCTTCACCAAGCAGAAGATCAACAGCTGCTGCAATCAGTCTTCTGGAGTTTGATTTAGCAGATCTAGTTAAGACCTGCTAAATCAAACTCAGATGGTGCCCCTACCCAGCATCCAGTACTCCTACTCCTGTCACCTCCCGTTGTGTGGATGGCAGGGAAACTCAAAACAAGGTAGCTGGAGTTGCATATCTTGATTTGACCTTCCCCTTTAGCGTAGGCCTGGCTTAAGGCAGAGCTATTAAGCCGAGGTAGACTTTGGCTGTACTAAATAGATAGCAAGGCTATTTAAGGAGAGAGTCATTGTTTCTGCCTAGTGTAGTGTAGTTACACAATCAACTGAAGGATCTGCCATTAGTAACTGCCAGACTGAATTAGACCCATGGTCCATCCATTCCAATACCCCCTCTCTGACAAGAGCCAGAATCAAAGCAGGCTGGTGGAAGAATCTGCCCCCGCATGTAGATCTTGTCCTTCTCTCACACAGTTAAAGATGGGCGTTAGGCTGAAGCAGAATGTTTGGCAAGGCAAGGCATTAAAAAACTACAGAAACTCTGGATATTCTTGTCGTCCATGTAAACATCCAGTTCCCTTGAGTCCTGACAAGGGTTTAGCCTCAGTGACTACTTGTGGCAGGGATGTCCAGTCTATTTGTGCAACGTGACAAGTATTCCCATTTATCCATTTTGTAGTTTACCACTTTTCAGTTTAATATCGGCCACTGTCAGACAGGATACGGAACTGGACAGACTGTGGATCTCATCCCGTGTGGCAGTTTCTCTGTTCCTCAGCAAGCAGGGCATGGTCTGGACTAGGGATGTAAAATCCCTGTCAATCAATTAAACATTAGCTTGACCAAACGTTTAACCGGTTGACCGATTAGTCGGGATCCGAGATGGGGACTGCTCAGGACGCCAAGTGGCCCATGCCCGTGGGGTGCTCAGGCCCACTGCAGACAGAGGCTGCTGTGCACAAGAGCAGCCTCAGTCCATGGCAGACAGGGAGCTGCTCCAGCCCCCAGACTACCAGTTAACTGGAAGCAGTAAGTATATATCACCCATTTAGAGTGAGGCTCCCCAGTTAACCTTTCACATCCCCCATCTGGGCAAAGAGCAGGCTATGGGATTAAAACCACTTCACAGCATGGAGGAGGTAGGAACAGGAAGCGTCCCACTGGCAAGCCATTTATGTTCTATTTCAAGCCAGGCAATCACGCAGGACCAGCTGTCTCAGCCACAGCTCCGTGAAAGGCCTCTCCACACAACAGGCACAAGTGATCTGATGTCAGACGATTTAAAGAAAAGACAGCAAAGAGATTCTTTGGCCCCAAACGTAACAGGCTCACTTCACCACCAAGAAAAGAAGCGTTGGCACGCGCACACCCCTGCTCTGGGGGTCCATCTGCTTGTCCTTTCCACCCATAACCGCATGGGGGGTTGGTGCAGCTGAGGGAGGCAGGACCCCCAACCCCACCTACAGCCCAGCCCTTCTGCTGAGGACCCGCCCCCTGCAGGGAGGAGGCGGGGCAGTGCACCAAGCATGCCTGCCCCCTCAGAGGGGAGAAGGAGAAGAGGCAGCATGCTGGGTGCGCCCCAGCCTCCCTGGAGCACCAGCAGAGGGGGAAGAAAGGCGAGGGAGTGCATGGAGCACCGGGAGAGGAGGAGGAGACTGCGCAGTTCCAGCCTCCCTGGTCCCGAGCACGGGGAAGGTGGGTGCTGGGGACAGCAACACTCCCCTCTTACCAGGTGACGCTTACTGGTCATGTTAACCAGTGGGGGCTGAAGCAGCCCCCCATTTGCAGCAGGCCTGGCCTGGGCAGCCCAACTAGGCTGGAGTGGTTCCCCCTACCCATCCCCATATAAACAGGGACAGGAGGACACTGTGCCATGAGTATGGACATGCAGCCTTAAAGGGGCAGGCAGCTCCTGAAAGAGATATTAGAAATTCACCTCCCGCAGGAAGTCATGGATTCCCTTAGGCACTAGCTTCCTGAGAGAAGGCTTTGCTTGCTGCCCTGTCTCCTCTGGGAGTTAAAAGCAAGAACAGGGGCTTCCCAGACACCAGCTCATTGTGGAAAGATTACAAAGCGAGCACCACTTACACTAGTTGCTGTAGCTTGCAGCCGGGCTGCCTCAGGGCTTCACACAGCTTCTTCACGCCTTCATCCTCCAGCGCATTGTTGCTCAGGTCTAGCTCTGTGAGGCACTGTTTGGAAGAGATGATGGTAGCCAGATGCCCACAACAAGCAGCTGAGAGATCGCAGTTACCCAGCCTGCAGGGAAAGGGAGAAGCCAAAGTCTGAGGCGCAAGGACTTACAAGAGAGTCACTTTGATCTCTTTGGAGGAGACACCCCAACTGGGACTGCCACAGGCAACACCACCACCAGTCTCGCGTCTTTCTGCCATTTCAGAGGCTGGTAGATAGAACAACCTGTGTACTTTATATGAAGCCCGTGTTCCCCTAAAGGCTCTGGTGCTCAGAGCCCAAATTCTCTGTAGGCCACACAGCAACCTATTAAGTGCCATGCAGGCAGTCAAGGAATCCGCCCAGCCCTGCTCTAGCTGGGGGAGCCCTTCTCTGCACCCTTCCCCCAGCCACAGCCTTGCCAGAGTGCCTATTGTCCCCAGCCCAGGTGCTGCTGAGGGGAGAAAGGGCAGCCTGTACCCCATCTCTGCCCCAGCCCTGAGCTCCTTCCATCCTCCGAACCCCTCAGCCCCAACCCTCCATATAAATGTTGTTATATCCACCAATATTATATCCACCAATGCGTGTGTGTGTATAATATAATGTGTGTGCACAATGTATATAACTTGGTGCATATGTACAAACTCCTCCATATTGGTGTGCGTATAATATAACTTGGTGCATATGTACAAACTCCTCCATATTGGTGTGCACAAAATTCATTCTGCACGGATGGGAAAAGTTAGAGGGAACATACAAGAACTGGGGCAGCGTTAGACATTTGTGATTAAATTCAGTCCTCTGCTACATGGAAACACCAGCTGCTCAGAATCTGGCCCTTCCCAGCTAGTAGATGGAAATAAGACCAGCCTATATTATGGTAGGTGAGTTTTGGTGTTGCGCAAGTGGCGATCTCAACTGTACACGATCAGTGTTCCCACCAAATTCCACTCTTGTGTGTGCACCAGTGTGATCAGTCAATAGTGTGCTAGGGAACCAGGCTTGCGTGTCTGTTGCCTAGTCACAGTTTAGTCTGGTCTCTATGGACAAGGGCACTGTGCCATGAGTACGGACATGCAGCCTTAAAGGAGCTATTCAATTTGCTAACCAGTTGGGTGAATCTGTTGTAGGGTTTGTGCAGCCAGACTGAGCCATTAGGCTATTCTCTCTCCTGATTACACTTCTACACTGCCAAGCTAAACAAAGACTAGACTAAACATCTGTGGGGTATTACTGGGTTATTTACACAGCTAAAGAACAGAGGCAAATTGAAATAGCACCCGAAAGAAGCCAAGGCACTCTGATAGGGATGTAAGCGATTAGTTGAGTAATCAACTACCCAATAAGCATAGGCTTATTGGGTAGCCGAGTGACTACTCACTTTCCCCCCCCTTCAGCTGCCTCTGCATCAGAGACAGTACAGGTGGGGGAGCAGGAGCCAGTGCTGGGGGAGATGGCTGAAAGCCGGATCTCCCCAGCACCATCTACACAATGCGGGGGCGAGGGGGCGGAAGCAGAGCCGCAGTGGTCCTGAAGCAGTCCCAGCTTACGCCAGCCCCTGGAGCTAATCCCACTACAGCTCTGCACTTTAAATGTAGAGCCACAACAGCGGTAGCAAGCCCCCCACCCTATCGACCAATCAAATAGTCGATGGAAATTCCATCGACTACTCGATTTATTAATTAACCGCTACTTAACATCTCTGCACTTGGAAGGACCAGTCCTTCTGTAAATCCAGGACTAGCACAATAAGTCTGAGCTATAACCCCACGTTTCTCAAACTGTGGGTCCCAACCCCCCAGGGAGTTGCGAGGTCACGGTATCACAAAGTTTGAGAACCCCTGCTATAACCCTTAATAAGTTTAATGGCCAAGCCCCTGGGTTTCTATCGGCTGGGAGATTCAGATGTCACTGAATCAATACCAGAGCTTAGTCTTCTTATCTACCTCTGTGAGAAGGCAAACAGTCTCTTGGCACTCAGTCGTTCCCATTCAGAAGCCGACCAGCTTCAGCTCTCAGCCAAGGGATCTCGTGAGACAGAAGCTTTCTAGTCGAACCTACGGGTTCTAGAATCCATGAAAGCCATGGCTAGAGCGGCCATGAGAGGCACCCATGATTCCAAGGCTCCGGCCCATTTGGCTTCACTTTGTACATCTAGAGCAGCCAGGGGGTGGGGAGAAGGAGGAGTGAGAGGAGGAGGTGAGGGTGACAGCATTGTGTATTATTTAGCAAGATTTCCTCAATCCGGAGGAAAGTGTATCACTGGCTACTGACAGTCCAATGTGGACCAGTCTATATGCAAACCGACCTGTTGCTTGTTCTAGCTAAGGATGTAAAAGACTAGTCGACTATCCAATAAGTATTTGCTTATCAGATAGTATTTTGACTAGTCGATAACCCCCCCCCCAAGGGGTACTTCAAAGTGCGGCGCTGCCACTTTGAAACACCCACACGGCTTTTCAAAGGGGCAGCCGTGGAGCCTGACCCCAGGCTCCCCATGTCATTTCCCCAGAACCTGGGATCAGCTGGCAGAGGCAGCAGTTTCAAAGGGAAAGCAGCCACACAGCTGATCAGCTGGGCAGGGGCTTCCCCTTTGAAACTGCTGCCTCTGCCAGTTTTAAAGGGGGCAGTGGAGCCTGGGGTCAGCTGAGGATTCAAAGGGTAGCTGCTGTGGGGCCCTGCGTCAGCTGGGGAGCCCCCAGCTGATCCCAGGTTCCAGGGAAGTGCTACATGGAACCCAGGGTCAGCTGGGGACTCCCCAGCTTATCCTGGACTCCTAGCAACATGCAGTGTAGCACGGAGCCCGGGGTCAGTGGGGGACTGAGTTCAGCCAAGGCCTGGGGACTCTTGTGCATTTCAAAGCAGGCACCCAGGAGCAACCTGGAGTCAGCGGGCTATATGCGGAGTTGTACATTTCAAAGGAGGAATGTGGAAGAGCTTATTGACTAGTCAACAGAAACTCCAGCGGCTAGTCAACAAGTCAATTAACCACATTTTAACATCCTTCGTTCTAGCAGAGCTGGAACAGTGTTGGATTTGCACAAGTTTACAGCAAAGAAAGCAACACATACTTGTTACCCAGGTCAGGGTTCGTACTCTAGCATTAGGACGCAGGAACTACCAGACACAGGTCAGGCCAGTGATCTATCTAGCCCAGCTATCTGATAGTGGTTAGTACCTGCTGCTTCACAGGAAGGTGCAACAAACCCTGCAATCAGCAGATTTGGGTTAATCTGTCCCTAGGAAGATTCCTCCAGGTCTTTTAGTTCGTGTGGCTTATACCCCAAAGACACCACTGAGTTAACATCTGCTAGTTCTTACAAAAGAGCCCCCATTTTAAGAAAAAGGAAGAATCTGTGGGAAGTAAAGACTTCAAGGAGACCATCTTCCACAGTAATCCTAGTGGCACCAACTCAGTGTGCCACCAAGACATCACCAATGTTCCCTCTAATGGTTTTCCATCCATGTGTAGAATACATTTTGTGTGCACACCGAAGTATGTGCACCACCTTCAGAAACACATGCTGCCAGCTGTGGTTATGTGCACCACCCTCAGAAACACATGCTGCCAGCTGTGGTGTCATCTGAATCTTTTCTGGGTGGCCACTCAAATGCTCCGCTTACAGGCAACACTGGACATCACCCAGCTGCTGTCCTGGCTACACAGAACAGGAAGTTAATGCAACACTCACTGAAGTGTAGCTGAAATCAGGAAATAATGAACTCCAACAGCATTCAATTTTCAGCCATGACTGATATAACTAAGCATCAGTTTTCAGCTGGAACTATTTGATATTTTGTAACTGTTCCTCTTTAGCCTCTGCACCTTATCCTCACCCACTCCCATTTTTTTTTTAGGCAACCAATAACTAAGTAAAAGAGAAAGAAGTTACTTACCATAGCGACCGTAAGTTACAGTTGGGGCTCATCAGTCCTTCATGGATAATTTCAACCCCTGCATCTCCTACCTTGTTGCCACCCATATGCAGTTCTCTCAAGGTCTGGTTTGTGCCAAGAGCAGAGCTAAGGCTCTTACAGCAGGCAGTTGTAAAACCACATTCCCTTATCCTGCAATGCAGAGAAGAAACCAGAACTTTAGGAGCTGAAAGACGTATAGGCTGGATGGTCCGATGGGCCTTCCTCTCCCATCTTTAACCTCTATGGCTGCTAACCTCTCTCACCAGTGCCTCACATCCTTTTCCCTCATGTTGGCGATTCGAACTATTTAGATAGGGTGGGAATCACACTAGAAGTCTGAACCATCTGTCCTTTCCCATCAGGGATTAGACATGCTATTTTAATAACCTCCCCAAGGTCTGGGGCTGAATTGTCCTGTTCCATCACAGGAAGATTATGTCCCCACCTCAAAGAACCCAAGAGGCACACAAGACCAGTGATGAGACAATCTCAACAGGATCACATGGGGGATATCTACACTGCACACTTCAGCTATTCTATTTCGAAATAGCGCGTCTACACTACAGGGGAGCCTCAAAATTAGTTTGAGGCAGGCTCCCCTAATGTGGGCGTACGACCTTGATTTAGAGCCCCAGGAGGCACTGGAGAGTAATTAGTTTGAATGGCCCTGGGGAAGAGCTATTTCAAAATAGCAGCAGTGGAGCATCCAACATTACAGCTATTTTGAAATAGCTATATCTGAATACGTGTTATTCCTCATGGAATGAGGTTTACAGATTTCAAAATAAGCCGTCCGTTCTTTCAAATTTATTTCGAAATAACAGAATTGCTGTGCAGACGCTCACATGGTTATTTCGAAATAACATCAGTGGGCTCAAACTTGATGATGCTCATTTGCTTAGATCTTGAAAAATCTCCAGTTACTTGAAAGGTTTTTGGAAGCACAAATCCCACTGATTTTCAATAAGCTGCAGGCCCATAGGCATAAGCCGTCCGTTCTTTCAAATTTATTTCGAAATAACAGAATTGCTGTGCAGACGCTCACATGGTTATTTCGAAATAACATCAGTGGGCTCAAACTTGATGATGCTCATTTGCTTAGATCTTGAAAAATCTCCAGTTACTTGAAAGGTTTTTGGAAGCACAAATCCCACTGATTTTCAATAAGCTGCAGGCCCATAGGCAGGAATCCCCATCCTTCTCTCCATCAGCCAGAGCCAGAGGAGGAAGGCTGGGGCAATGCACCATCCCTGCCTTCCCCAGGCTGACTGGAATTGGCCCCAGGGCAGACCATGAAGGACTGTGGGGAGGTGCATTTGCAGCCTTCACACACCCCTGCATATGGGCCTGGCTAGGTGCTCCAGAATCTCTTTGGGATGCTGCTAAACAAAAGAACTATTCCCCTCCTTAGAGGATGTGAATCAGTAAGGATGTTTGCGTGGGCACGGCTTACTGCAGAGAGGTCTTTGTTAAATTAAAAAAATAAATAAGTGAGGACAATGGAAGTTGTAAAGAAACCAGGCAGCAGCTTACCACAGTGCCTGGAGTTTGGCTTTTGGATCCTTCAGTCCTTGACACAGTTGCTCCATTCCTGCGTCTCCCAGGTCGTTACCAATCAGGCTCACCTCCGTTAGGGACTCTTTTGTTCTGAGGACTTGGGCGAGATCCTTGCAGCTAGCAGGTGTGAGACCACACTCCCATAACCTGAGGAACACAACCAGAATGCTGGCTTCAAGATTTGCTTAGGATTCACCCCAGATGAGTGTATAAAATCCTGTTTTTACTTCCAATGGCAGACATGCACAATGTCTTTTGAACTCTAAGAGGCTTGTTCTATGGACACACATTTACTTTACCAGTCCCTTTTGTATAAACAGCCTTCTCCTGCTTCCCTGCATCACAGATGGAAAAAAAAACCCTTTCTAAAAAAGATATAGGAGTTGGGTTTGTAGTGCTGTTCCGCTCAGTTCTCTGTACAACAGAACATGGCTGTAATGAATTTTAGTCCTCCCTTCTTCATAGAACTGGGTCACTTACTGACATTGTCCTTTCCAATCTAGTTGGCTGTGCTCTTCACCCAACCCTAGCTGAGAGAAGGGATCTGAGGAGCAGCCTATTTCATAAGGGATTTGCCGGGCACTTAGTTTCTCAGACAGCAAGATCATGCCAATAGCTACTCTATATTGGAAAGAGTTTGTCTGTTTGTTCAACTCCTCCTCCTAAATGGCAAGAGTTAGGACCATGACATTTGGTACACAGCTTCCTGTGATCATAGCGTAAAGCAAAGGGTTTGGTTGTGCCAGGAAAGCAGGATGGGACTGCATCTCATAAAACCAAACAGAAGACACAATCACCAAGCAGGTGAAAAGACTGGCTGGGGATGCCCCATCTCCCATGACCAGGACTGCCCTAGCTCCGAGCCTCCCACCCCCCACGCACCCTTTAGGGAAGTGGGCAGGTTTACGCTTCCTTTCTCCCCGATTCGAATAGAACATTGCTGGCTCTTCCCCTTCATCAGAGAGAGAGTGAGGGGAAGTGCAGTTTCCTGCATTCCTCACTCTGGCTACAGGGTGCAGAGGGCAGACAAACCTGGGCCTACCCCAGCTGGGGGATGTGCACCATGCCCTGGCTGTGCCCGCAGGAGCTGCAGTGCTCATGGAGAGATGCTTCTCACCAGGCCCCCAAGCTGCTGCACTAAGAGGGCTGGGATAGTCCTCTCTCCCTGGGGCAGCCTGCATACTGAACCCCTCATCTCCAGCCCCAGAGCAATGATTTAAACGAAGCATGGACATTTTCCAAAAGCCACAAATTGATCAAGTTAGGGACCCGAGCAACACTGGGTAAATCTTCCAGTAAGAAACACAGATGACTTCGAGGCCATCACCTTGTGCAGATTTTAGGCAGTCACTGATTTGCCTTACCATAGCTTCTCTATTTGACAGGTGGGATTCAGCAGTCCCTGGCACAGCAGCGCTAGCCCTGCATCTCCAATCTTGTTCTCTCCCACAGACAGGTCTGTCAGGCATGGCTTCGACGCAAGAACAGTGCTGAGATCCCCACAGCTAGCAGTGGTGATATGACAGTTCTCCACACTGGGGGCGGGGGAAAGGAGGGAGAAGAATCAGATCAATGTTCAACAGTTGCTTCTCCGTAAGTCAGTGTATTAAAGCATGACGACATCTACCATCCTGAACGCAAGTCAGGAAGAGACTGCTGGCTGGATCCTCAGCCAACAAACTGGTGAGCGAGCTGCAGGGAGCTATGCCAGCTGAGGATCAGCCTAGTATTCCCAGGACAGCTTTTATCACCCTTTGTTTAGGCCACTGTGGTGCTCATGCAACCCAAATACCATGTATGCAGTGCTTTGTGACTGTACTGACCGGAACGGCGTACCTATTTTCCCAGCTCTCAGAAAGAGAATGGGATTTCCCCCACATGTACCGGCACCTGTTTTCCTGGGGCAGCTCAGCTCCTGACGGAAGCCTGCTTGGGACATGTGGCTTTTTTTTTCTTCCAGCTTTTAAAGGGACCGTGACCGAATTCCACCCCCACCCCACCCCGCATGGGTTTTTTTTTTGTGGGGGGAGGGAGAGGGACTCAACAAGTTTTCCATTTTTTTTTGCTTAGCAAGTCTGCCCTAGAGTACCGGCACCTTTTTTCTTACAAAAAAAATCACTGCGTGTCTGTAACCAAAAGGTTATTTTCTGGACCTCCCTTTTTGCTGAGGGTCCCTCTCTAGGGAAATCCTGGGAACAGACAGAACCAGGGGAATCCCTGAGACTGTATCCCCACTAGAACCATACTGGGCTGACAGGCTCAGGGCTGCTGCAGCCATCCACATGGATGGCCTGGCTTCCATCTGATGCTTTGGGAAGATTTTGCAGCCTATACTGCTCTTAGAGCAAGAGTGCTCTGCAGGGTGAGATTGGGGCAGGAGATTCTCTGATCTTGCACCAAACCCCCTACATAGACTTTATCCCAGAAGAGGGACGCCGTGCATTTTGAAGAGATGTGCACTTAGTAATTCTGACTACGTGGGAGACTCGTTAGATCGGGGGGGAGAGGGGAAGGAGGAAGATAGATAATCACTTCCATTCCCAAATACGAACCATCTGACATTTTCTTTGCAAGTCTGATCCACAGTGACCCCACTGCCATTACCCTGCAGGGAGGAGTAAAAGCCAGCTCTCTGAATCAAGTGCCAAGCCAAAATTGAGCCAGGAGAGTTTTTGCAGATGTACTGGGACAAGCCACAGAATGTCTTAAGCATTCCTGGCAACAAGAAGGCTGTGAGTATTGAAGAGCAGAGCTAGAATGGGAGAGAAACAGCTGTTACTCACTGCAGTGACTGTAGCTTGCAGTTGGGATCCATCAACCCCTGACACAGCAGTTTTATTGCCGGATCTCCCAGTCTGTTATTACTTAGGTTGAGCATCTTCAGGGAGGACTTTGTGCGCAGAGCAGTGCAGAGCAGCTCACAGATGTCAGGCTTGAGTTCACAATATTCTAACCTGAAAAAAGAAACCAGAGCAAAATGGAGAGTCATCCTTATACCACTCAGCTCAGATGTATCAGCAGCACGGAGGTCATATCCACAGGCCAGACAGGAAGACAGTAAAATTCTCTGCAGTATGCAGCCCGTTAAATATACAGATACTCCATGAAAAATCATGAGCAAAGTCCCCAAACCTCAGTTACTTAATAGCACTGCCATGCTATTGCCAGGAGCTTCAGTCGGATTGAGCTGAGAATGGCACCAGATGGGATATCCGCTCAGTTTCAGTGTAAGACTTTCATAAGGTTACCTGCAGGTTTGCTGACAACCAGTGTTTAACTCTTGAATTATAAGAGAGCATATAACCACCACCACCACCGCTTGTTTCTCCAATGGGAAATCTTTAGTGCAATCCAGTCAGAAACCAAACAGTCTGAGACTAGAAACAAGAGCAATAAACTGATCACTTCTGCTGGTGGCAGTGGAAGAAGTTTGTGTGTCCTTTTTCTTGGCTGGGGTTTGCTCATAGAGCTTCTGGGTCATTCTACATTTACAGGGCACTTGCTGCTTCCCTCCTCAAAAGGACAAACTAACCATCAACGTTTATTCCCTCTCCCTCTCCCCTCTCTCCCCCCCCCTCCCCCGGCCCCCCCTCCCCTCACTCCAGTTCACTGACCTACTTCTTGCAGCTGGATAGAGTGGCTTTTCCTGTTCTCATATGATAGGGAAGGTGAAGAGGGTAGAGATTAGGTGCGCATGCCCTTTACCCCCTACTTAAGGTTCTTGTCCACTGCAAACAACCCTCTGATGTTACTGAATAAATAGTAGCAAGTTCTTCATGCCCAGTTAACTTCTGGCTTCTGCTAAATAAGAGTCAGAGTCCAAGGTAGTTTGGATGTGGAGAACTCTCTGTTGGTAACTGGATTAAGACCACCTATTTGCCTGATTAGTCAGACTATGCGCCATGAAACATTTCCAGAATGATCCACTCAATCCAACATTGAGAAGCATACAGCAAGGGGCTGGGGAATAGAGAGGTCAATGAAGATTTGGAGCACTGCTGAAACCAGGGATGTAAACAGTGATCAAAACAGGTAACTGGTTAAATGATTAGTTACCTTGTTTAACCAGTTAACCGTTGGTGGGCCAGCATAGGGCAGCCAGGGTGGGGATGGGGTCTCACTGGGGCTGTGGGCAGGCATGGAGGGTGCTGCTCCAGGTGAGCCTGCCCCCACTAGGGCCACAGCAGCCTGCCAGTTGGCCCTGCCTGCCCTGGCCAGGTTTCCACCAGCCAGCCTGACATGGACTGGTGTGGCTGTCAGTCCAGTTAACCAGTTACTCAGTAAGCATTCAGGTAAACCTAATGCTCACTGGGTAACTGGTTAACATTTTACATCCCTACCTGAAACCACTGAACAACCTACAAATAAGAACAGCTTTTGGTCACTACCAATCCGGGCTATGCTAAGGCAGTCAACCCAGAGACCTGTCCACATGATAACAAAGCCTTGGGACTATCCAATTCCCATTAACATAGATTATCACGTACCCCCACCTCCTGCAGAAATTCACTTTTTTGCAGCTTGAGGTAAATTTGCAGCTGGTCAGAAGATGATACTACTCTGCACACATACCCCGATCTATCCACCCCAGTGTTGTCTGGCATCTGTAATGTCCAACACGATGGGAAAAACAAGGCCAATAATTACTTACTGTAGCTTCTGTAGCTGACAGTTGGGATCCAACAGTCCCTCGCACAGCACTTTTACACCTGAAGTTTTTAGTTTGTTATCACCCAGATGCAGCTCGATCAGAGACGGCTTTGTGCTCAGAACAGAACGGAGATGCTTGCAGCAGGCATCTGTTAGATTGCAGTTCTGCAGCCTGATGGAGAAAAAGAAACCAAAGTAAGAGGAAGAGTGTTCCCTGGAATTCATCATGTTCCCCTCAGAGTTTGGTGCATCATCCTGTGATGCTAAATGGAATTTGGGGGACACTTTAGGCTATTATGAAAATCAGTATCCCAGAATGGCAATGAGTTATGCCAGATATACCATGTTATATATCTGCAAAATTGTTAAAAAGCTGCCAGTGACAATAATCTCATTTATATGCTTGTATCACCTTAGTATTTTGGGTTATGGATAGGTCTGTCTGTCTTACAAAACTTGTTGGCCTATGCTTTGGGTGACATCCACAGACAGCATAGTAATGCACTGCCTAGTCTATTGGATGGCCCATCAGCTATTCCATTGATCCATTGAGAGAAGGCCAGGGAGAGGCGTTCTGAGTCAGCAGGGCAGAAAGGAGCATGCCTACAGACAGAGCCCTCAACTTCCAAGCCACATGCTGGCCAGGTTGGGTTTGAGACAAAGCTGCTGCATCTTCTCCCTCTTGCCCTCGTTCCTGCTTCTTACCCTTGGAGTAACCTTTCTACAAAAGGTCTTTTTAAAAAGGACTGAATGACCCATCCAAGGTGCAGAGGTGTTCTAATCTAGAGGGATTTTCAAGCCAGCAAACTCACCAGTACTGCTAGGAACCTGATGGACTTTGAAGTTTTTGTATGCATGAGACTGTTTGACCATTTAGCATCTCTTCTTGTTCTCTGTTTATGACAAACCTTTAGTTTTAGACACTGAAGAACTGGCGGCCAGTTGGGAATTTTGGGTAGGAGCCAAACCTATAGTGACCTGGTAATGTACCTGGCTCTTTGGGGTCAGAAGGACATTTTGTGCATGTGAGCAAAACTTTAAAAAACTGCTCACTGTACTGGACCTAGTGTTGACTGGGAGCCAGAGAATCAGCATGCAATAAAGGGACCTGTAGGATTTCTTTTTTGCTTCTTGATAACCAGTGCGGAGAATCAGAAGTACAGTTTGTGATGGGTTGGGAAATTTAACTTCAGTGTTACCCACCAGCTTTGGGAGTATCTGCTCTCCATTTTGCAGCCTGCCCTGATCTTGGCATCTTCAGTGAGGGCTGCCTCAGTCCTCCTTTCCCACCCCAAAGGTCAAACATCCAATACTTGGTTTCATAATATACGTCTACTGCCCTACAATGGATTATGCTTCAATGCATTTGCAAAGCACTTGGAAGACTATCACATTATTATATGCTCAGCTAAATATTAACAGTAAAGCTATGCCCAATAATATCAGTCTCAGTTAAAAATTATAATCAGTTAGTTTTACAGCTGCAGTAAGAAGGACTTTTTTTTTTTAAATAATTATGGAGAAGAGAATTTTTCCCATTAAATAATGACAAAATTCCAATATATCTGTGCAGCAATTTTTTTCTACACCAGGCATGTCCAAAGTCCGGCGTAAGGCTCTTTCTTGATAGAAAACAAGGGAATCTTACTTTTCATTGACTCCCACACCCCTCCATCCCTGCCCTGTCTCTTCGGGTGTGTCTAAACTACATGGCTCCGTCGATGGAGCCATGTAGATTAGGCTGATCAGCAGAGGGAAATGAAGCCGTGATTTAAATAATCGTGGCTTCATTTACATTTAAATGGCTGCTGCGCTGAGCCGACACAGCTGATCAGCTGTTTGTTGGCTCAGCGCGCAAGTCTGGACGCTCCTGCGCCAACCTGAAAGCCCTTTATCAACCTCCCCGTTATGCCTCATAGGATGAGGTTTACCAGGGAGGTCGATAAAGGGCTTTCATGTCGGCAGGGGAGCGTCCAGACTGCCCCGATCTGCTGACAAACAGCTGATCGGCAGAGCGGGGCAGCCATTTAAATTTAAATGAAGCCGCGATTATTTAAATCGCGGCTTCATTTCCCTTTGCTGAACAAACAAATCTACATGGCTCCGTCGACGAAGCCATGTAGTCTAGACGTACCCTTCCTGTCCCTGCTCCTTTCCCTGTTACAGTGCTATAAAGCATCAGAATGAACTGTGGCTCCCAACACCAATAACTACTCCCCTCACGGAGGTGGTTTACAAAGTGTGGTGGGAAAGCTCTCTTCCAGTGCTCCAGCCATAGTAACACTTTCAGTTTAAAGAAAAGTTTCGCTGCCGGGGCAGTTAAGTATAGACAAAACCTAAGATGACCCAACAACCTTTACAACGTCTTAATGGAGTTCTGCCTGGAAGTTTGCTTTTCAGAAAAATTAGCTATTTCTGATTCGATCTTTAACATGTTGCCCTAGATAAAATGGATATTTAACATGCACTAAACTGACAAGGCAACCTGGTTTAGGAGAGAAGTATATGAATGTGAGATTGAGAAACTTGAGGTTTATAAGAAACTACAGTAGACTTCCGATAATCCGGAACCTATGGGACCTAGGTGGTGCCGGATTATCAGATATGCCAGACTATCAGGAGGTACTATATGGGGGTGTGTGTGTGTACACACAGTATACATTATATACTGTATATAAAGTGTTCTTAACCCTTTTTATTGTATATACAATACTGTAATGTTTTAGTTTTTTAAAGCTTTTTTCCCCCTTTTGGCTCAGTTCAGCTGCTGCCGCTGTTACCTTGTGACTCATTTTTTGCCGAAGCTCACTCACTAGGCTCTTGCTATTTTGATGCCAGCCTATCAGGAGTGCCGGACTATTGGATGCCGGACTATTGGAGTTTTACTGTATTTGAAATTTGTCTTAACTAGTGTTACATTCTTTAGAGGAAAGTATTAGACCCATTTATTTCAAGGCCCATCTTAAAAACAGTGCATTTGATTCAGTTAATATTTTACCCTCCTGAATTAAATAGCTTCTCTCACTAGCGGATACATGTTTGACACCTGGAGGGATCGAAGTGAGGAGGGCAGGCTTGCAGGAGTCTAGACCTTATCTTGGTCTTTGAAGTGTCAAAATTCATTGAAGTACTACACTCTTGGTGGCAAACAAGCGTGCAGAACAGATTAAATATATTTGGTTTTTAGCTCTGTAGTTCTTGGAAGAGTTCTCTTTGAAGACTGGAGTGGATGGGATTTGGGAGATGTTGAAAGCACTATAGACAAGTGGTTCTTGTGCTTTAAGCTGTTCTGGCCAAACCATCAATCCCACTGGCTATGGGGGTGGGAGGAGTCAGGCAGCCATCCCTTGTTCAGTTAGGGATGAGATTCCCCCCGTCATAACTCAGGAAGTGTTTGAAGTTACTTGGATTTCAATTCACTTTTCCTACCAATACACAGAGAAGCAATTTTATAATAAATTCAGGGTTTCCTGATGGGCTTGCAGAGCACAGTGAACATAGAAGGAGCTCCTCAGCTAGAATCAATGGGCTTAGCTCCACTAAGTCAGTGGAGACGCATTATTCACTTCAACTGATGATCTGGCCCCAAGAGGTCAAGTTACTCAAAATGCACTGATGAAGACGGTTAAGAGTTCTGAGTGCAACACAACCACCTGCGGAGACTTACCATAGCTTCTGTAAATTGCAGCTTGGAGCCATCAACCCTTTACACAGCAGTTCCACTCCTGAATCGCCCAGTTCATTGTTATTCAGTGTTAGCTCAGTCAGGGACTTGTTCGAACTGAGGACAGAGCCAATGTCCTTACAGTTATTAGCAGAGAGACTGCAATCATCCAGCCTGCAGGGAAGAGAGATGGCATTATTAGTCCTAACCATTCATTCCGCTCACCTCAGGCACTACAACATTCCCCAGCAGAGATGTATTCATGAAGCAACACAATGGGTTGTTAGATCCTAAGTCAGTTCCTGGAGTGTAAATCCACATGCAGCTTGCCGTGCAGATAAAAACCACCCCAGTTACAGAGGCCTGGCAGAACACAGGATTCTCATGCACAACTGGGCCCTACTCCTAGACAAGTGGCAGAGAGATTTTTCCAGGGACAGATTGAGTGGAACTCCTCCACCTGTACTGCTCAGATGGAGGAACACGCCCCAAATCCCCTCTCTAGCCAACACTGCTTTAACCCTAGGCTGTGGTTAAGCTTAGTTTCTTCTGCAACAAGTTAGTTCATCAGGCCGGGGGAGTTGGAAGGTCCACCTGAAGCCAAAGCTCCAGAGGGCAATGGATAAGCTTTCACACGGTCTCCTGACACCACATAAACTGGCCCTTTGCCCAGCTTTCCAGTCAGCTAGAGACTCCCAGAGACGTGCTGTGGCATGCATAGATCACAGAGCCTCGCCCACATGCTTGGAGCCTTCCTGCCAATTTTCAGCTGCTGTCACCTTCTCAGCAAAGTCTCTGCTCAGAATTCAGTTCTAATCACTGGCGCACAGCCCAGGTTCCCTACGGGCATTCCGTACCCAGAGGATACCCCCGGGTGTCAGAATTAGTCCCACGTAGGATAGTCGCGTGCAATCCTGTCTACCAGCCCCAAATCAAGTCCCCATTAGCTTAATGATCATTTTGCCCACCCAGAGAAGCAAGAGGTCAGCTAAGTGGTGCAGATTCCCAGCAAGAGGAGATGGACCCAACTCTTTTCTAGCACTCCCCAACTCCCAGCCGAACACTTCCAGGCCGATATCTAAGTTATATTCTTACAGGCTGCCAGAACACGTAGGAGTGAAAGGGATACAGAGTTTCCACGTGTTAAAATGCTGGCCAATGTATAGCCTTTGGGAAGACTGGTCAAGAAATTCCATGAGGAAGGAGTTTGACCAGCACTCCCATGAAAGGGCACGTTAGCCTAAAGTCCACCATCTGGATGGAGAGAAGGCAGACACCATCCCCCTGGCAAAGAAACATCCCGGCAAGGGAGACAGGAACTCCGGAGCAGTGGCAACATATGTGAATAGTGACATCACTAATTTGGTGAGTTTAATCCAAGTAGGGTTGCCAGGTACTTTCGCAAAAAATCCCAAACATGGCGGGGGAAAAAAACTGGTTGAGAAAAGAAAAAGTTGCTGCGCCTTTATTCCTGTTCCCTCTGCCCTCACCCGACATGGCAGGGGAAAAATGTCCCCGCCGGCCTTCCATGCGAGGAAAACATTTTACATGTCCAGTATTTTCTGGTTTGTTTGTTTTTTTAAACTGGACAGAAGATGCAAATACCGGATTGTCCGGGCGAAAACCGGACACCTGGCAACCCTAAATCCAGACTGAATTTGAACCCCGACAATTCATGCCAAAGAGCAGGTTTCTTTAGATAAGCTCATGAGAACATGCTTTCTACGCTGGATGAGCAGAATCTTTCCCTCACGCACAAGGAGGTAGTACCTCACCGCAACACTACTGCGGTTAATACTGCAGGCCCATACGCAGGAATTTCTGGGTGTGTGCGCGCTTTTTTCTAATGTGGACTGCAAGGGTGTGAATGCACCCCCCATGTTTCCCCAAGTAAGCAGAGAAATTAGCCCCAGCCTTTCCTCAGTTGGTCAGAGCAAGGGGGAGGGAGGTTCCGGCAGCGCACTGCTCCTGAGAGCATGCTTATTGGGAGATCATGGGGGGTGATGGGGTTTCACACCCTTTGCACGCACACACACCCCCACCCTGTATTATCCCT